TACCTATAGTCTCCGTTGTAGTTCCGTTTTGGGGTTCTCCATTTTGGGGAGTAGTTTCGAATCCTAGCCAAATTCAGACCCTAAACCCCAAACCCTAAACCCAAGACCGTATAATTCGGTCATCCTTCTGTCCTAGTTTCGGATCTGAACCGCAAAAGGCTTAATTACCAAGGACAGGAAACTTCACGGAGATAAGCCTAAAGTCTAAACCCTTACACTAAGGGTCCAAATGCCCATGACTTAAGGACTTTGGGGCCTTTTTGGGAAGGACCCTTAGAAAGGCAGGCGCATTTCGGGGACAGGGGTGTTTGGGCTGCTGAAATGCTCATCTTCGGCTTCGGAGTCTGAGATTTGAGGATTTAGGCCTTAGCCTTCAGGGTTTAGGGTTTGGATTTTTGGGTTTAGGCTTTAGAGTTTTGGCTTTAGGGTTTAGGGTTTTGGTTTCCGATTTGGGTTGCAGTTCCCATGGTGGCAGTAGCACGAATAACACCAGTGATAGTACTAGAGAGCCTCAATGCGATGAAATGAGCGCAACAAAACGAATAAGAACATATCCGTAGGCCCTGTTCTCGTAGAACAGAACCGTAGGCCCTGTTCTCTTTCAGAGAGTTTAGAGCGTATAGGGCTTATAGGCTTTAGGGTTCAGGGCGTCGGGTTTGGGGTAAATTTTAGGGTTTAGAGCTTTTGGCTTATAGGATTTCCAGTTCAGGATGCGCAAACCCTTTCAAGTTTACCCATAGGCCCCATAGTAGTTCCTTTTGGGGTTCATATTTAGAATCCTATAAGGCAATCCCAAAAAGGAATTACTATGGGGCCTATGGGTAGCCACAGCGCTCCAAATGTTCGTACGCAACGCAACCAAGCCCGAAGTCGAGTAGCAGCAAGGAGGCGGCAGCACCAGAACGCCACCGTAAAGCCCAGCCCCCTAAACCCTAAACCCTAAACCCTACCCAGAAACTCCAAAACCCCTTAATTAAGGAATATACCTTAAGTCATATGAGGATTCCTATCATAGTTTAAGGTATATTCCTTAGTTAAGGGGTTTTGGAGTCTCTGGGTATACACAGTAATCCCTAAACCCCGAACCCGAAACCCCAACCCTAAACCCTAAACCCTAAACCCTGAACCCCAAACCCGAAACCCTAAACCTCATTACGGGCTGGTATGGCTCTTGACGAGTCCAGGGCGACCTGCCAATCTGCCTCGCAGCCCACGCCTGCCGTGCCTAGGTGCTGACTACTGCTGAGGGTTTAGGGTTTAGGGGTTTAGGGGTTGAGGGTTTTGGGTTTGGGGTTTCGCGTTTGGGTTTAGGGCGTCGAGTTTAGGGTTTAATTAGGGTGTGGGGTCTGGTCAGCCTGCGATGATGGGTCCTTGGACTACTGCTTTGGGTCCAGGGTGCAAGGGGTCTACTGGGAGTCTTCAAGCATTAATAAGGTCAATGGGTCATCATCGACAGAGAATACCCTTAACCCCCACAATGGCTGTCAACAAGAATCCCGTAGTGGCAATCCTTGTCCCTAATCCCTATAAACCCTAAACTACGCGCAGTGCATGCAAACCATTCCATAGAGTTCTTGTGTACCCGTAAACCGTATTCAAGACTCGTATGAGGTCTCTTTAACTATAAGTCATCTGGGTCGCCAAATCTGTGGTGACTGCAACTAGAATTAATGCCCCTATAATAGGAAGCGCGGGTTCTAGGTTGGCAGAAAGGAGACGCTCAACAGAGATCCTTCAGCCGAAGATGTGCATAGCTGAGGTTCCTCCAGCAATCCGCAGCTGAATGAATCGCTGATCCGTGGCGAAATCACATCCGGAAAACCCCAAACCCTAAACCCTAAACCCTAAAGTTAAAAATTCAGCTTTCTTTACTTGCCATGTTTGAAAAAGTCGAAGGTTTAGCCTCGGGATAGACCCCAGAGCCCGGCCCTATGTGATCGCGAGCTCGAGGAGCTCGCTTTGTGGAAGGTCTAGGGTTTAGGGTTCTAGGGTTTAAGGGTTTAGGGTTTAGGGTTTAAGGGTTAAGGATCTAGGGTTTAGGGTTTAAGGGTTTAGGGTTCTAGGGTTTAAGGGTTTAGGGTTTAAGGGTTAAGGGTTTAGGGTTCAGGGTTTAGGGCTCTAGTGTTTAAGGGTTTAGGGTTTAGGGTTCAGGGTTTAGGGTTTAAGGGTTTAGGGTTTAGGGTTTTAGGGTTTAGGGTTTAGGGTTCAGGGCTTATTAGTAGAAGCCTGAAAAGGGGAAACCCAATAGCCTCAATCCTGAAGAGTAATGTATAGGGAATCCCAGACCATCTGTCCTTAATCAAGGTTTCCAACTTCTTGGGGTTTAGTATGGGGGTGCAAAGCCCTTGTGCAAGAACCGACTTCCAGGAAACTCTTACACCCCAAACCCCTAAACCCCTAAGCCCCAAGCTCCTAAACACTTCTCCGAATATGGGCCCTAAGCCCCCTGAAACCTTCAACCCCAAACCCTGCAGAGTCTAGACGGCCTGAACCGCGTTGGGGTTTAGGATTTGCGGTTTGGGTTGGGACATTATAAGTTATAAGTATGAAACCCCGCTTGTTTGGGCACCCATAACCCCGATTACAGGCACATGACAATATAGCCCCTAGGCATTACAAGTGATCATATTGGCATACTTATGACTGCACAACCCCTTGACTAAGTCCCTCGATCGAGTCAAGATGTGAAGAGCTGAGGAAAATCCTTTGCGCAGCCAAAGCGGATGTGGGCCGCCGAGCCGAGAAAGGACAATTCCAAGGACAGCGCCCCGGACAACAACTAGCACGTTGGTTCGCAGAGAGTCCCAAAAGGGATGTCTAGGCTGTGACGAAGCAGTTTAGGGTTTTGAGGTTTACCTAGAGTCTCCGTTGTAGTGCTTCTAGTTTAGCAATTTTTCTGTTGAGGACCCTGTAACGTAGTCCAAACGGTTTAGGGTCTACAGTAGGGTGTGAGTTGAGGCATTGAGGCTTACCCGAGGTCTGCTACTCCTCCTATGATGGGCTTTTGTATGTGATTTTCCGCGCAGAGTGGGGGTGCTGGCTTCAAACCTATCCAGAAAGCTCCATCTCATGCTGACTTGGGCTTCGCAAGAATCGCGACCGCCGGCACCCATGCTAGGGCTAGGGGCAACCTTGGATCCTAAACCCAATCCCAACCCCTAAGCCGTAGTCATACCGCCCTATACATCTCAGAGATTCTGAAAGCCTCAAATGTCAAAGCTTAGCGTAGAACTCTGTTCCCTGCAAGCCCCTTTATAGACCCTACGCACTTAAGCCTATACCTATACCCTGGACCCTCAAGCCTAAACCCCTACAACCTGAAGCCCCAAACCCTGTAACCCCTAAACACTAAACTTTAGTTATATACTACCCCCCCCCCCCCCAAATCCTAAACC